AACTTGCTCTCCATGGTACTTCTTCAGTTGATTTTTTCTGCTCAGATTGTGCTATAGCTAAACACCACAAGCTTCCTTTCAAGGCTGCAAGTTCCTCTGCATCCCACAGCTTGGCACTACTTCATTGTGATGTTTGGGGCCCTGCTCCTGTCCTTTCAGTTAGTAGTTTTCGCTATTATCTGTTGATCGTAGATGATCATACTAAGTATAGCTGGTTTTTTCCATTAAAAGCAAAATCTGAGGTGTATTCTACATTTGTAGCCTTCAAAACATATGTAGAAAATTCTGTTGGAAATAAAATCAAGGCTATTCGTTCAGATTCAGGGGGTGAATTTGTTAATTCTTCTTTGCAAGCATTTCTTCAATTACATGGCATTTCTCACCAACTGAGTTGCCCACACACTCCTGAGCAGAATGGTTGTGTCGAACGGAAACACAGGCATCTTGTAGAGACCGCTCGCACTCTTTTAGTTGCATCTCATGTTCCTCAACAATATTGGGTTGAGGCTATCTCTACTGCTCTCTATTTGATCAATCGATTGCCCATATCTGGTCTTCTTTCTTCTCCGTGGGAGTTGCTATTTCATACTGCCCCAGATTATACTCGCCTTAAGATCTTCGGCTGCAGTTGCTATCCTTGGTTAAAGCCCTATGTCTCTTCTAAGTTGGATGGTAAAAGTAAGGAATGTGTTTTCCTTGGCTACAGTCTACAACACAAGGGCTACAGATGCTTGGATCCTCTCACCAACCGGGTATACATATCCCGGCATGTATTGTTCAATGAGACCGTCTTTCCCTTTTCACACACTTCTATTTCCCAGTGCTTCCCCTCACCTGACCCTGCTTCTCCTGTCATTGATCTTCACTTCCCTCTTTCTTCCTCTTCGCCTTCTCCTGCTCCTCCACCTCCTTCCCCTGTTGTTTCCCATATTTCCTCACCCTCCCCTTCTCCATCTCCTGATCATTCTATTGATCCTTCCTCTTCTGTAGCTGCTTCTAACCATCATCCCATGGTTACTAGATCCAAGAATGGTATTTTTCGCCCTAAAGCTTATTCTGCTACTAAACACCCTTTACCATCCACTCTTGATTATATTCCCACTACTTATACTCAAGCTTCCAAGCACAGTGACTGGCGATTAGCTATGCAAAATGAATTTAATGCTCTCCAAGCTACTGGCACTTGGTCCTTAGTTCCTTCTTCTCCTTCTCAAAATGTGGTTGGTTGCAAATGGGTGTTTCGCATTAAGAAGCGGCCTGATGGTTCTGTTGAACGATACAAGGCCCGATTGGTTGCCAAGGGCTTTCACCAACAACAAGGTCTGGACTATCAAGAAACCTTTAGCCCTGTCGCTAAACCGGTCACTATTCGAATTCTGTTAACTGTTGCAGTTCAGTACAATTGGTTTCTCAATCAGATTGACATCAGTAATGCTTTTCTTCATGGTGACTTACAAGAAGAGATGTTTATGCAACAACCTCCTGGTTTTACTGATTCTCATCTGCCAAATCATGTGTGTAAACTTCATAAGTCTCTCTATGGCCTTAAACAGGCTCCTCGGGCATGGTTTGATAAACTCTTTCACGCTCTCAAGTCCTTTGGTTTCACTCAATCCTGCTCTGATGCATCTCTCTTTGTTCTCAAGGTTCCTTCCCTCGTTATTGTATTGGTTTATGTGGATGACATATTGATCAGTGGTCCTAATCCGGCAGTGTGCCAGCAGGTTATTCAGCAACTTGGATCTCTGTTTCCTGTCAAGGACTTAGGTCCCCTTCATTATTTTTTGGGATTGGAAGTTCAACGCTCATCAAAGGGCTTATTTCTTCATCAAAGCAAATATCTTCTAGATTTGCTTCAGAAATCTAAAATGGACGGTGCCAAGCCATGTTGTACTCCTCTTGGCACTACTAAACTGGATCACAGTGGCATTCCTCTCTCCAATCCTACTGCATATCGATCCCTAGTTGGTGCCTTACAGTATTTAACTTGGACTAGGCCTGATATCTCTTTTGCTGTCAATCAAGTCTGCCAGTTCATGCATAATCCCACTGACGTTCATCTGCAAGCTGCAAAAAGGATTCTCCGATTCCTCAAAGGCACCTCTGATCATGGTTTATGGTTTCAAAGAGGTTCTCTTCATCTTTCTGCTTTTTCTGATGCAGATTGGGCTGGTTGTTTATTCGATCGTCGTTCCACCAGTGGCTTTTGTGTCTATCTTGGCACCAACTTAATCAGCTGGAGCGCTAAGAAGCAGCCTACAGTGGCTCGATCCTCCACTGAAGCTGAATATCGATCTCTGGCCCATACTGCAGCTGAAATTACCTGGATCTGTAAGGTGTTTCATGATTTTGGTTTCCCTTTATCCTCCAAACCTACAATCTGGTGTGATAACATCTCTGCCATCTCTCTTGCTTCCAATCCTGTATTTCATGCTCGAACAAAGCACGTTGAGATAGATTATCATTACATTAGAGAGTTGGTTCTTGCTAATCTGCTGCAAGTTCAGTATGTGTGTACTGAGGACCAAATTGCTGATATTCACACTAAGTCTTTGACCAAGAACTGGTTCCTTCTTCTTCAATCCAAGCTATCCCTTGGAACTCCAACTTGTTCCCAGCTCAGCTTGAGGGGGTGTAAAGATGAGGATGCCAAATCATGACATACATTCTGTTTTTAATTACCTAATTGTAATGTGCTATGTGTACATGTTAGTTAGAGTTGTTATTTCTGGTATGCCTATATATACCATCTCATGTAATTATTTCAGTTGGGTAATGAAAAGTGTAATATTTCAGAAAGATATTTCTCTAAGTTTCTTCAATGGCCACTTGAAAGGTGCAATGGCTTTAGAGCTGGAAAGTGATTTGTTCGCTGAATACTTGAAGTAATGGGTCCCGGTTAATTAGTGCGAGTTATAACTTGTAAGTATAAAGCGACTGACTTGATTGGTTTTGGTTGTTTTAGGTGGCAATTTCTTCCAAGTTTGGCAAATGTCATTATTTCCAAAATTGTCATTTGATAAAAACATCATGTAATATAAACTTATAAATAATATATTTATCAAACTATTAAAAAATATATATTAGTATCTAATATTTCAATATGCTTCTATAATGTGACGATAATTTTTTTTCAATCTCACAAATTATTGATACCATAGCCACATCACAAATTTTGTTTTTGAATTTTTTTTCCTATCTAATGTCGCAGGATATTTTAAACAATTCTAATTTACAAGAATTAAAACAAATTTTGAAAACGGCACACTTTTTGAGACAACTGATAAAATTACCATTAACAAAAGCTCTGTATTTGCAAAACAAAGATCAAAGACCATTAACAATGAATGATAAAATTACCAAATGATCAAATGCAATATAAAGACCATTAACTAAGAAGTCTTTGTTTATGTTTATCACCCACTTGCTGGCATAGGTCTTGGTTTATTAGCAATCTTAGTTGTTGCTTGAAAATGTTAACATGATCGCAAACTATGTAATTCGTTTTATTTTATTTTAAATGTTATCGTTTTTATATTAACCACTTGTTAAGGAGACTCTCTAAAAAAATCACGTCCCACATTTGTTAATATTTCAATTAATTTACTCTCTACTGCTTTGAGCTGTAAAAATCACTTAAATTTATAAAAATAGAAATTTTCAAAATATCCTTAAATTTAACATTTCTTTCAAGGTTAAAGCGAGACAAAATCAGTATCAGAGAGTAAATTTTAATACATTAAACTCAATTAATGATACTAATTGAGTTTAATGTATTATAATTGACTAATTGGAGAGATTTTTCTGTGACATCCCACATCGCTCAGGGGAGTGATCCTTAAATGTATATTCTTATCCCTACCTAGCACGAGGCCTTTTGGGAGCTCACTGGCTTCGGGTTCCATAGGAACTCCGAAGTTAAGCGAGTAGCGCGCGAGAGCATTCCCAGGATGGGTGACCCATCGGGAAGTTCTCGTGTGAGTTCCCAGAAACAAAACCGTGAGGGCGTGGTCGGGGCCCAAAGCGGACAATATCGTGCTACAGTGGTGGAGCGGGCCCGGGAAGTGGTGCGCCCCGGGCCGGGATGTGACATTTCAATGTACTTGGAACACGGAATGGTACACTATGTGTCTCTATACAAGTGGTGAGATTCTTGTGTTAAAAAATTAATAACATAAAAAAGAAAATTTCATGTAAGTTATATAAGAACACGTAGTGTACCAGCATGCGTTCCTAGCACATTGAAAAATCTCTCTACTAATTGAGTTTAATCTTCTCTATAAAGCCAACAAGCCCAATGAATAGTATTTTTTGGTGTCACAAGCTTCACCAAAAAGAATTAGACAAAAATGCTCCTCAAACAAAAAACTTCAAAAGGAACTCAAAATAATGGCATCAAATGTGGCATGGGTATTTTCGTTTTTAATAGTATTTTTTAATAATTATTTTTTTGTACATTTTTTTTTTCTATATAATTAGTAACTCACAATAGGTTATGATTAATGTGATTCAATCATTTGTTTATCCAATATTATTTTCTCTATTTTTAAACACGTTCAAAATATCTTAAGAGGCGCCAATTATAAAAAGGTATTTCACACGCGGATAATAATGTGATTAAATTAGTTGTTAAATGACTGTGTTTTTTTTTTGTTTGAACAAACGATATTATCTACACTAAGAGGAAGAGAGTGGGTTAAGCCTCACAATAAGTTAGCAGTAATATGATTCAATCAGTTGTTTATTAATTAAATATTATTTTCTTTATTCTTAATGTAAATTCTATAGAGACCTATTTTTATTGTGAATTCAGTTGCTTTAATTGGTTTATGAGAGGTTTCTTCTAACATAATTTAAAATTATTTATTTATTTTAAATATTTGACTTTTCTTTTGTCAATTTACACATATAAATACATTTAAAACGTATAAGTAACGCGTAGCATACTGTAATTCAAAATATGCATTATAATTTGAGCTGGATTCATGTATCAAGCCAGGTTGTACCCATCTAATTTTCGTTGAATTCAAATATAATTGAGTCTTGACTTGGAGTTTGCCTTGGAAATTATAAACTTGGTAGAGGAAAGGCACTTGCACAACCATCCTGCCTTTCTTCTTCATTCATACTTCCCTACTTGTTTACTAATCCACTGTCAGTTGATTCCAAACATTAAAAATGGCTGATGCGATCGTTTCCATGCTGCTAGAGCGGTTGGCTTCAGCAACTTTTCATTACATAGAAGATGAGGTGAAAAATGTTTTGAACGTTAAGAAAGACGTTCAAGAATTCACTAGTAATCTCATAGCTATTCAAGCTGTGCTTCAGGACGCTGAGCGAAGGAAGGTGGAGGAGGAACACGTGAGAAACTGGTTGGATAACCTCAAGGAAATATCTTACCAGATGGCAGATGTGCTGGACGAGTGGAACTATGACATTCTGAGGCAACAGGTTGAGAAGCAAGAAAGAGATGGCGCAGCTGCTCTTGTTCCTGAAAAGAAGGTCAGATTTTCTGTTTCCTCTGGTTGCTTTTGTTTTGGCCAAGTCAGTCAGGTCTTTATTCGTCATGACATTGCTGCTAGGATAAAAGAGCTGAATGAGAGTTTAACTTTGATTTATAAGCAAAGAAAAATGTATGGGTTTCACATAGAGAGAGGTACTCAACGACTTGAACGACGGATAACTTCGTCCTTCGTCGATGAATCTTACATCTTTGGACGAGAAAACGAAAAAGATGTTTTGATAACAAATTTGTTGACTGATAGTAGTGAACAAGGGAGGGGAACCCTTATCATCCCTATTGTAGGGATGGGAGGAATGGGCAAAACAACTTTGGCACAACTAGTTTATAATGATCCCAAAGTTAAAACCCATTTTGAAAAGAGAATATGGGTTTGTGTGTCAGATCCTTTTGAAGTGATTAAGATTGCCAAAGCTATTATTGGTAATGATCCCTCAAGTTCAAATGAGTTGGACTGTGTCTTGCAACGCGTGTCTGAATTCATTGAGGGCAAAAGGTTTCTCCTTGTCCTTGATGATATGTGGACTCGAGACCGTAAAAAGTGGGAACAATTAGAGGCAGCATTGATTCAAAGCGGTGCTAAAGGCAGTAGAATAGTGGTGACAACAAGACAACATGAGGTTGTTGATATGATGAGAGCAACAAGTCACATGATCAGTATGGGAGAATTGAGTGAACAATTTTGTTTGTCAATCTTCAAGCACATGGCCTTTTATGGTAAGGAAGTCAACGTGTCCAATAAGTTTGAAGATATTAGTCGGGAGATTGTAAAGAAGTGTAAAGGTCTGCCTCTTGCTGTCCAAACTTTAGGTAGTCTGATGCGCAACAAGACAACACGGAGTGAATGGCAAGATGTTTTGAGCAGTAAAATGTGGGGTCTAGAAGATGTTGAGCAAGAAGTTTTCCAACCACTGTTACTAAGTTATTATGATTTGGCCCCTGAAGTTAAATGTTGCCTATTATATTGTGCTATTTTTCCTAAAGATTATCAGTTTGACAGAGATTGTTTGATTAATCTTTGGATGGCACAAGATTATCTTAATTCGAAAGGGAATAAAGATAAGGAAATGATTGGCCAAACATATTTTGATAACTTAGTAGCACGTTCTTTTTTCCAAGATTTTGAGAAAGATCGTGGCAGCGGTAAAGTTATAAGTTGCAAAATGCATGATATTGTGCATGACTTTCTCCAATTTCTCAACAAGAATGAATGCTTGATTATTGAGGGTGAGGGTGCTACCAATGAAATGGCAATATGGGGTGATAAGGTTCGCCATTTGACCTTAGCTTCAGTACCCAGAGGTCCACTTTCACTAGCTATCTCATATTCCAATTGCAAAAACCTGCGCACACTCACAACTTTTAAATGGGTAATAACTACAATAAGCTCAGAGTTTATTTTGCAATTGAAATGTCTTAGGACATTAAATTTGAGTGGTGACTGGATAGATTGTAATTGGTTCAAAGAACTTCCAGAGGAGATTGGACAATTGATACATTTGAAGCATATTGATTTGTCTTTTAATAATGGTTTGAAGAAATTACCTGATGCTATTTGTGAATTATACAATTTGTGTACCTTGCGCCTTTTCTGTTGCTTCTCACTTGGAAAACTACCTGATAACATGGGAAGATTGATTAGCTTAAAACATCTTTATATTGAAGGATGTCCTCTCATGTACTTACCAAAAGGGATTGGGAGGTTAACAAGTTTGCAGGCACTGGATACGTTTGTTGTGTGTTGCGGTGACAAGGAAGAAGCATTACAATTTGAAGATCTGAGAACCTTGAACCTTCAGGGTAGTCTCGTCGTAGAGGTTTCTGGGGATGTAAAAGATGTGAGTGAGGTTGAGAAAGCTCAATTGTGGGATCAAAAGAAACTTTTTCATCTCGGAATAAATTGTAGTGGTATGCACTACAGGCAGACAGAAAGCAGTGTAGAAATATTGGATGTCTTACGACCGCACAAAGATTTGGAAGCTTTAGACATTCTTGGGCATACTGGGACTGCCTGGCCAATTTGGATGGCGTCGTTAAACCACTTGAAAATCGTTACCATTGTACGGTGGGATAAGTGTGAAGTTTTGCCTCCTCTTGGGAAACTTCCGTCCCTCGAAATACTAACCATAGATGGGTTGGACAGTGTGACAAAGGTTGGTGGTGAATTTTTGGGAATAGAAGATCAGACATCATTCAAACCGTCGCCAGCATTATTCCCAAAATTGAAAGAACTCCGCCTTCGCGGAATGGTTAGCTGGGTAGAGTGGGAAGGCGTGGAAGGGTGGAAGAAAGAAGAATCTGAAATTACAGTCATGCCATGCCTTTCTTACTTAGAAATTTATTTCTGCCATAACTTAAAGACACTGCCAGACTTCCTTTGCAAAGTACCACTACAGAATCTTATCTTTAACAATTGTTCGAGCATCCTTGAAAAGCGTTGCAAAGAAGGCCGTGGAGAGGAGTGGCCCAAGATTTCTCATATCCCAAACATCCATTTTCTTTCCGAATGGAGGACTCCAGATCAATTGACTCCTGAAAAGAGATATTGGCGGACCCTGGAGTATCTTGCAACGTATGGAACTACCAATTGTCACTTCTTCAGGTAATTGAACTATTGTGTAGATATTTATGTACGAGATTATCAATTGTCACTGCCATTATATTTGTTTTCTTATTTTTCTTTTAAATCTTCAGATGATCTCTGGACATGATTGGTTAAAGGAGCAATGTCGATCAATTGGTGACTCGCTAGCACATGATGATCATCAAGTTCAAATTGTCCTGTGGAGATATGTTTGATGAGGAGCAATGCCGCACTTAGTCCCAACATCTTACTGCAATCCGAGGATTCCTGATGCTGATGGGTAATTTCTTCAACTATCAAACCATGATTTGATTTAAGTAGGGGTGGCATTTTTTCCCGAAAAAACCCGTCCCGAAATTTGATGGAAAAATGTCCGAACCGAATTTCCCGAAAAATTCAGTACCCAAAACCGAACCGATCCCGAAAATTTCGGTTTGGGATTTGGCCACATCTTTGAAAGTGTTTGGTAATCCTGAACCGAACCGAATATTATATATATATATTTATTTATTTATTTATTTTTAACTTATAATTAGAAATTACTTGGACCGTTATATTGGTTAAGATCTAATCCAACCGTCTATTGTGAGTTGGGTCTTCTGTATTCCTCTCACAGTCTCACTTCCTCAGACTCTCTCAGTCACTCACTCTAAATGATTTTGCATTAAGTATGCAGTTTGCACACCGTCGATTGATCTTTTTTTTTTTTTTTTTTTTTTGGTAGTGCAGGCAATATCACTGTTTGGAGCTCAAACTCTAGAGCTCATTGCGGCTCTGCTGCTTCTGCAGAGTACTGCCAAGCCACAATATAAGTTTGTGGATTTCTTCAAAGCTAACAAACTATCAAAAGAGAGGAGCTAGTTGCATTAGCATTGCATTCGAGCAACTTGATTACTGATAGAACGGATTCCACCCAATCCCGAAGTGACTTGAAAATCCCGAAACAGTTTCGGGAATCTCGAATTTTGGGAATTGAATAGTTTCGGTTCAGTTTTGGAATATAAAATCCCATCCCGAAATGTTTTGGTTTTGGGATTTGGGTTGGGGGTTTCGGTCAGGATTCCGACCCGAACCAACCCTAGATTTAAGCTAGAGGGTTTGTCTCACTTTCTTGTATTTTTTTTTTATTTTCGTTTCCCCTCTTCTTTTGCATGTTGTTTTTCTCCTTTTTCCTTATACTATGAGGGGTTAGGTTTATGTCCCCCCTTCTTTTGCATATTGTTTTTCTCCTTCTTTTTTTTTCTTGTACTATGAGGGGTTAGGTTTATGTCCCCCCCTTGACTAGGTGTAATTTTTTTTTTTTCGTTATCAATAAAATTTCTCTCGTAACGCCGAGGTTTTCTTAAAAAAAAAAAAAATATAATTTTGACTTTGTATGCACGAGCGCTCTTAACAACTTAAGTTATGTTGTATTTATTGTTCTATCTATGAAAAGTTCATCATTTTTTTTTTTTTTTTTCTCTTTGCTATAAATGGATGTCATCCTCTTCGTCCTCCTTTCTTTTCATTTTTATTTTTTCTTCCGCTTATAGTTTTAGGGTTAAATTCTGTTATATCAAATCAAATGTAACTTGTAAAGGTTTAATTTTGGTCTAATTGTAAACTTGTTTGAGTATCCAAAGCAATGTTTTTTTTATTTGTTATGCACACAATTTTGTTTAATGAATGAATACTTTTAACCAATTGAACTTTAAGCTTCTTACATATCAAAATTTCTTCATAAAATTTTTATATAATTCTCCAAAGAAAGCGATTGTCTAGCAAGACACTTGTAACTCAAGTAGGTAACAGTTTAGGGAGGTAATTTTCACTCTTTTTAGCTTCATGCACTTCTTTTTATTTTTGATGATCAGATTAAATAAATCAAACGAAATCAAAGAACTAATTAAACATAGATGTGTGAAGCTACAAATGGTGTGTGTTTATCATTTTCCTACCTTTAAATCATTATCTCCCCCACTATCATTCATATTCGTATAAATTTAGGGGTGTGTAGATTTTTTTACTTCTCACACACCCTTTTTAATTTATATCGATTGATCTTCTTCACTTCATCCGATCCAACGGCCGAAAATTAAATGAATGTGTGAGAAATAAAAAGAAGTGTGTTAATATCACACCCCTAAATTTATTTGGGTTACATAGAAGGAACTGAGCCCAAAGTCTCCTTGAGGTCCAAAGAATATTATCTGCTACCTACCAGTAGAGTCAAAGCAACCATTTTCGTCTCCAACTCTCTCTCTCTCTACGGTTTCTGTTGACTGATCAATGGATCGAGCTCAGCTTGTTCTGTTAGGGCTTCCGCTCTTCCTCTTCTGCACCGACCTCCTAAACCTCTTCACCCCGCCCCCTCCTCCGCCCCACAAGCCTCCCCACCACCACGACCACCATCCCCACCTCCAACACCAACACCAACACCAACACCAACCTCCTCCAGTCGCCAAAGAAACCCTAGAGTTTCCCCCACAGGTATTTCAATCTGAATTCCTCTTAAATTCCCAGTCTTTGTTGCAATTGATTCCGTATTTTTATCCTATTCTAATTTCCGTCTTTAATTCTTTGGTTTGGTCGGATTTCAGAAACCAAGCGCTTTCGGGGCAATCGGCGTCGGCAGCACGGTCAAGATTAGCTTCTGCACTTCTTGCTCGTACAAGTAATTCTCTTGTTTCTTTTGTGATTTCTTGAATTGGGTTTTTAGTTTTATGTCGAATTATGATGTGGGATAATAGAAGATCAACTTGAACAGCTATTCATTTGAAATTGAATTGTTATTCGGATCCTGGGGTTTATCAGATAAACTGTAAAATTCTCTTGATTTATCTGTTAGCTACGAATTAGTGTACCGAGAATATGTGGGTTCCTACTTGTTTTGCACTTAACATGTTAGATTGGATCGTCGGGGTTGGGCTATATTTACTTATCGAAAAAATTTGCATTTGATAGGGGGAATGCGGTAACAATGACGAAGATGTTGGAGGCTGCGTTTCCTGGAATCCATGTTGAACTTTCGAACTATCCCCCGCCCCTTCCAAAGCGTGTGGTCAGCAAGCTGGTCCCGGTTGCTCAAGTTGGAGTTTTTGGGATTATAATGGCGGGCGAGCAGATTTTTCCTATGTTGGGGGTTGCGACACCTCCTGCTTGGTATTATTCTCTGCGTGCAAATAGATTTGGTACCATTGCATCCACTTGGCTTCTAGGCAATGCATTGCAGTCCTTCCTCCAGGGCACTGGTGCTTTTGAAGTTTACCTCAACGATGAATTGGTGCGCAAACCCCTTTTTCTTCTTGCTGGGAGCTAGATTATCATTTCCTATTCGTTTAATTCCTTTTGGTGAAAGCCGCTTTTGGCCTTTTCAATAACGCTTGTCTTTGATTGATGCATACGCGTGAGTGTTAGCTTCTGTTCTCTTGTATGTTGCAGGTTTTCTCAAAGCTGAAGGAGGGAAGATTTCCGGGAGAGATTGAACTAAGAGATGCCATTGCGAGTAAGTTGGGTAGTTCAAGAATCACAGACTCGGCTTTATCGTCCTAGTCTAGTAGCTGGGTTTGTAAAGTCCAAATTGCGGTTGGAGTTTGAAGCTCGCATACGTGCTTAGTAGGTTCAAAGGCTTCGAGCTAGGAGTTGTAATGAATTGTTTCCCATCACTGTTATACAAAGTTATGAACGATAACCTGGGCCTGCTTGCGTCCTGAGATGATCATTGATTCGGTTTAAAATCGATTTCAACTCATTTAAGCCTGTTAATATAGTTTCATTCGGAATATTCCGTATCTACTCAAAGTATGTGTTCTTCCTGGTTTGCACGTATGAGTATGTTTTTTGGGTACTTGATCATGTACTCGCTCTAAGTTCTGCTCTGCATACTGGAAATGCCTCGGATGAAATGGAACTTGAACGTGCATTTCAATTTTCTTGAGTTTATGGAGGTGTTTTGGATATGTACTGCATGTGTTTTTTTTGTTCAAAACTTCTAAAGGGAGATGACGGTTTTCGTTTCATATCAAGAAATAGCCGAAGACGGTGGTTATATTGCCAACAGAACTGCAAAGTAAACAAATTTCAGTAGTGTTTCGAGTTGTAACTGTACGTACTTGTAAAGAACTTCAACTGACACTGCGGGACGATAATACACGATAATACGATGTGATGACAATGCTGCAGTTCAAGAACGATATCCGAAAGAAAACCAAATCACATTAGTATTTATATAAACAGGCACGATATATGTCCTATAAACTATAAACAGCAAGAACATCTTGTGTAACCCCGTCGTTCGAAAGCCATATGTTCTTAGAAATGAATAGAAGTAGAGTGTATAAGAGCACCACGTCATAAACTGAACTAAACCAACTGATATGAAACAAAACATGGCAATCGTTATCATATCTACATCATCTCTTAGTACTTTATTTTATTTTTTTATTTTACCGTGGGAGTGGTTCAATCGCCACCGCCACCATCAACCGTCCATTGAATCCAATCCTTAACCATCACAGCACTCACCGCCGCCCCACCGTAGTTTGGTCTCAGCCTCCGCCGCCAGCATCACCTAGTAGCAGTATTCATGCTACTAGGTTTCTTCGTTTCCTTGTCAAATCTAGATTCTGCTTATATCGCGCCCAAACACAAATGTTGTAAGCCAATTGATCGCCACATAGAATCTGTTCCTCCAGCTTATGACTCGGGTTAAATATGCCGAGCGCCAAACAAACCAACTGAAGAACCCAGCCATAGATACGCCTTTACCCGCCTGCAAATATGTGCGCTACATAAGGTCAGTTATCTTAGCTTAATGTGCGAGAGCAGAGGCTTCAAAGTGGCTTGAAATTCACCTTGCTCTGTCTGAGGTCCACAAGAGCCTTGTATCTCCCTAGAGTCGCCATGCTTCCTAAATGCTTGTACACAAATGGTTCCTCGTATTTATACTCTCTTGCAGCGTTGGCACGTCCTCCACCAGCTTTGCTAATTTTGTTCAGTAAATTGGCCAAATACTTTCCTTGCCTCTCTGCAACCTTCATATATTTAAAACAGAGATGCATAAAGATCATTTCAGTTGCCCTTTAACAGCAGACCGTTAAATCTCGAATAACTTTTAAAAAGAAAATAATTTCATTGAATTTGCTGGTTGGCTAGAACTTCACAGTATAATACTACCATTACACAAAATTTATGGACTTTTACACACATGGGAGATGGGATTCTATGAGAATGGATAATCGAACAAATCCTAACCTGGGCCAAGGCTGGAAGAGTTGGTTTTCCGGTACTTTCAACAAAACCACTACAGTCTCCAATTGAGTACACATCCTGCACGTCAGGAACACGCAGCCACTCGTCAACACCAATCCTGCAATTAGAGAAAAGGGTCATAAAAAATTACGCTAACAGGATATGTCATTCTAAAGCATACTAAACAATTTGGGGAACACATGGACCAAATCATACTGAAACCTTATGATATGAAAAGAAATATGACATTTAAAAAGACAGATGGTATTGAAATGAAAGATTTGTGTCGCAGAGGAGAAAATGGAACAATATAAACTGAATTTGGGGTGAAAAGTGAAGTAAAAAGTTCACCAGAAGGTACTGAAATTTATGAAAACTCATGAGGTTCTAAGATGAAGATCAGAACAATACTATACTGTAAGCTTAGATTTGTTAGAAACTCCAGTAGTTGAAAGGAGGAACAAACTCATTTCATTAGAAACAAATTAAAGTATTACCTTCCACCAGGAGACTTTGTAAGCGGCAATGAGTTCACCAAAGATGATGGACCAACACCGGTAGACCATACCAAAAGACCATAAGGAACCTCTGTGCCATCATTAAGAATTATTTTCTTATCCTTGACATCCTTAACGATCCCACGGACAAGACGAACTCCTGACTGAGAGAAACAATCAAACGTGCAATGAACATACCCAGCAATTAGTGGGAAAACTGTAGCAACTGTGGGAGATAATCTCTGAGAACCACTCTTTAGTTCTTTAATACAACAGGTGGTGAAAGGATTTGAAGTTGCCATTATGTGCATAAGAACGATTCTCAGATAATATCTCATTTGACTAATAACAGGGCAATAGGTTCTGTTATGAATAAAATATCTCTTACCTTCGTCAGTTGTTTCGTAGCATAGTGCCTCAGCCGATCATCAAATGATGATAAAATCTCATTTGCCTATGAAGACAAGAATGTTACTAAGTTTCCAAATAGAAATCTACTTACTCAGTTGCATGGACTGCATTTTTATCTAATAATTCTGCAGAAGATAAGACAAGGAGTATTCAACATGGTTGAATCTCGTGGCGAGGTAATGAACAAACCTCAATTAAGGTAACATGAATATAATTTTTCACATGAGCATATCTTTCCTGAACATCTCTCTGAATAAAGTCACTAAGTTCACCGCTGAACTCAACTCCTGTGGGACCACCTCCAACAACAACACAGTGTAGGAGTCTGCTTTTCTCTTCCTCTGAAACACCTGCCTCCAAACCAAAATCAAACGAAATACACAATGAGATCTCATATCATGTGATTGATGTTCTCTAGTAATTAAATCCAAGTGCAGCAGTATACCAGGCACATCCGACAACATCAAGTTTAGGAGCAGCTTCCTACGGATTTCCTGGGCATGAGAGACTTCACGAAGAAAAATTGCATGTTCATGTACACCTTGTATGCCAAAAGTGGTTGGCATTGCTCCCAAAGCAATTACCAACTTGTCATACGCAATTTCAAACTTCCATGGCTTCAAGGGTTCAGCTCCATCAGTTACCGTCTCGCATTTCACCTTCATTTCCCAAACCAGCATTTTTGCAAGTAAGGCAATCTTTAAATCCAAATATTCTCCAACATTTTGTATATTCTCTCCACCAAAACAAAAAAAAAAAGCTCAAATCTTTGTAGCACTTGAATCAAATAATGAGTTAAAATTAGGAACCGTTATTAGCACTCCAAAAATCTCATTCTACACTCCTTGTATTTTTCTTTCTAATTATAGAAAGTTCGGAGTGACAAATGAGATTTTTGAAGTGCTAATAACAATTTCCTAAAATTAAGCCACTTTCAGCTGAAAAATCATATTTTTACCAAAATTAACAACGCAGAAGCTAATAATTTGATCCACATTTTTCATTACAGTGTACAGAAAAGCAAAAGTTCAATTAAGTAATGATTACCCATTGCAAACTTTACCCAGAAAGTCAATAAATCAGTAAATCAAAACATCCCAATTCACTATTTACTATCCAAGAACCAAAAAAAAAACAAAAAAAAACTAGGGAAAAAATGGACTTACCACATGCTTATCAGAATCGAGGCCGATACAGTTGGATAGGAAGAAATACGACCCGGTTTCTCTCGAAATGGCGGGTTGGATCCTCGCAATGGGCTCGGCTACGGACCGGAACTCCAGAGTTCCGACGCAGGTGGACGCCAGCAGCGGCGTGAACACCATATGGTTCCTCGGCGACACGCAGACGATGTCGTATTGCTCGGTGTCCAATCCTTTCATAAGCCGGCACCCGGCCCAGCCCGAACCCAGGACCACCACCCTCGGCTTGTCGCCGGGCATTGTGGGGCCCAGACCCGAGTAAAAGGTCGGAGGTTGAGGAGTAGGAGTCGGATCCGGAGTCTCATGGATCGGACTCGGGCGAGCCGGCTCAGAGCTGAAGCGGGAGAGCAGAGTGTAGGAGAACGGGTCAGAAATTCTGGGTCGGGCCGATGATCTGGCGGTGGTGGCTGAGACTTGGATGAGGCTCCTGAACCAAGACATGGCGTTCGGATGCGTTACGACGTCGTTTAGTGGAAGTTAAGAGTAGAGATTGGCTCTGCAGCACATATACGTGAGCTTGACGAAGGTGGAGAAAGTTCCAAGAATTTGGTGTCGTTTTCTGCGGTTGTGATGAATTTGTGGCAGGTCGTTTTAAGAACTTGACACGTCAACAGTGGCCTTCGTTCTCGTGGCAGTTACATTCGTGTTACAGTTGGCTTGGCTGAAACGTTCGGACACGCTGTAATTCTATCGGTACCGTTTCTAGCGTTCCCTTGGTAAGACGGTAAAGCCTTGGAGAACAATCAAGTTCAAGAGAAGTTTTTTGGTATACCTAAAACATCGTCTAGTACACTTGTCATTAAATAAAAACTAATTATTTTACGATACTTGATTTATCAAACAGTGTTTTTGATATATTAAGGTCACCTTCAACTCATATGCTAAATTTAAATAAAATTTAAATTTAATAGCTTATGTGATATTTTGATAATTTTTTAAATTTTACTCTTCACCTAATATGCCAAATTTTAAATGTAAAATAGAAATTCATATTTATTTTCTTTTTATTGGTGATGAAAGAAAATGAATTAAAAGGTATAAAAATATTTAAACATTGCATTGGTAATGAACAATAAAAAGGCAATGCCTTAAACCAATAAAAAAATTAATAAAAAGAATTTAATAATATATTAAAAGAATTTGAAAATGCTGTCAAATTTGACAGTAGGGGGAGATATGTTATTTCATGTCATGTCACATCAAATTTGGTTTATGGGTTGAAAAACATTAATGCTATATTTTTAACTATTATTGTTGATTTAAACATTTTGACATATCTTTTAAAAATACTCTAAAAAAAATTTCCAGGTTCAACATCATACACCAGGAAATTACCACGTTGAATTGTAATATGTTACAAGTTTTCGAGATTTTCGGCTATACTTCGAGCTCTCATTAATCTATTACATTCTAGTAAAAAATATAAGGAATAAGATTTAATGACAAAAATGTCAGATCATAAAATACTTTGAAGATACATTGAAAAAACGGTGAATAATACAATAAAGTTGATCCACCTTCCCAAATTAAAAGTGAGATAAGCTAGAGTACTTATTCTACATATGTTTTTTTTCTTGTGAGCACAAAATTTCAGTGTATAGGTAAATATTAACTACTACCCTAACTTTTTTTTTGTTTTGTTTTGCAGAGGTTTGTGCAGTTAAGAAGAGAGGCGTTGGGAAGAGATAGAGTGGGGTGTGATGCTTTGATGACATGTGGGCGATGAAGAGAAAAATAAAAATAAAATTCTTTTGGTGCAACTACCTTGATGTCCATAATTTTCTTTTCTGATATTTTTATGGAATTATGAATATAGACCAAATCGTCTTTCCATACTTTTTTAATTAACAAAAAAAAATTTGTCAACAGATAATATAGATTACAGTCATCGCTTATTTAATGTAGCTAAAAGATAGAATAAGAATATTTTGAGTACAATTTTTATTTGAGATATAACTTGGGTGCACCCAATGGAAAAAAAAAAATGAAAGCATGTTATACATGAGGCAATATAATAGCCTTTTCAAGCAATATATTACATTTTTAGGCTTTAGCCCTTCCGGCCGCCGTCTCCTCTGGATTTGACTCTTGAAGAGGCGGGGGAGGGATCATGCCCACGATTGGCAGTTGGGTCGTTGTAGTCATTTGTCGTCACCCTCAAAGACCTACCCTCCATCTCCATGGCCACCACCACCTCATCACCTATAGTATATAACCAAGCACCGACAAAGGAAAGAAGAAAATTAGCTTCCACTGCATAATATTTAGTACATTACAACAATAAATAAACACCTTGTTAACAAACTAATTACAAAAGATATATGTATATTAGTATATACGAAATAATGTTTTATGGTCAAAGTTATATTGCCTTATAAACACTAACGTTATGAGACCTATGTTGTGAATATACAAGGCACACTTAGCTAGTCAAGAATCAAAGCAAACAATACATATCCTTATATACCCTCTATCTTAGGGTCAAAGAGAAAAAATGACAGTGCTAATTAGTCTGAGGACTTCTCCACCCGTTTCTCTCGGCTCCTGTCTTTATTTCTCACTTCACGTGACACGGAAATGAGAATATTAATTGTCGTTATCTCTCACTACATGATAAAGGAACAAAAAACGGGGATATGGAAGTTCCTTTCCAACAAGAGGATCTAGGGCTTACAGGGAAAATGGTTTAGACAAAGTTTCAATTGGTGTGTGAGCAGTGTCCATAAGCACAACTAGCAAATATACAAATAATATATAAAAGAGACAAAACACACACACATATATATATGGATGCATGAGATGAGAGTCATGAGACTATACGACTATGAATGCGCAAACCCAGCTGGTGTTGCACACACTTCAACACCCTGCAACCCAATTCCAAAACGCAGGCAACGGATATCTGACGCTTGCTGATCAATAATGAATTATTTATTCCTAGATTTATATTATTTATATTAAATAATAGTAAGGTTCATTTGTATATCGTAACGAGACAAAATATAGGGTGTTATAGAATTAATTTCCAACATAATAATCCTCCAATGGTTAAGATTGGAAAAGAATAGCAAATTCAATGGCTTTGGAGATGATTGTTTTTATGCATCAGTTGAAGGACGGTAGGACAAGACTTGCTTGCAACGCGTTTCATTTCCTCTCTGTTCACATGATCAATGGAGATCGATGCACAGAAAGAAGGGTATGAAACTCGACTCGTTGCGGGTAAGTTTTACGCCAACAAGTGGTTGAAGTAGATATAGGTAAAGAGAGACATATACGGCGGCATACCTGAAAATAGAATGGTGTTCCGAGCAGATGAAGATATTACAGCAAAGGCAAGCAAGAGACACAAGCACAGCTGAGTACCTCCAAACCCCATCTCTCTCTCTCTCTCTCTCTCTCTCTGTGGTTGGCTCTGAGCCTCTGATATGATTATATACAAGAAGCATGGGAGGCCAAATATTTGCTCCATTTATAGGTTGAATAATACTAATACCGAGAGACTTTTCGGCATCCTTTATCACTATCATGCTGTATATTATTCCACTTATATTATAACACGTTTAATTATTTTGTTAATATATTTTGTAAGTAGAGATATATGAACACTAAACCCTAAACATTTGTCACGTATTATTCTATATGTTATGTATTAAAAGTTGACGTTAACAGATCATGGTTGTCACGTTCACATATGAATGAACAAAGGCAGACTCCTTGGTGAGGGATTAGGATTCTCTCATCTCCTCTTTCTATCTCCTTTCATCATCTCCTCTCACATTCTCTTATTTTATCTTTCTCTTGCTATAAAATATTAATATAAGATGTTAACGTAGTTTAACCGTAACCGTTCAAATAAAAGAGGAGGGAAGAGAAGAGAAAAAAAGAGGAGAGATAATCCAACTTCCTTTGGTGAGTGCATCTGAAGATACTAACTTTTAAAAGTCAACGGTGTTGATGTCGATCCCCTACTTTAATTACCAGATAAGGAAGCCAAGCGATGACCAGACAGAAGCGGGCAGCAGTAGCAGCTTCCTTTTCTCATTCAAAAGTTGTAATCATGTTTATTTATTTTGTGACCATTAATTGTATCACTTTCTACTCTAGTCCATGTACTATACATCACCGATGGTATAGATGATTGTCATGTATTCAAATAATAAATTATTTGTCCATTAAATATTTGTTACACCAGAATCTCTTTACAGACACGTACTCTTCCTATTTTTTAGTTAATTCGACCACACAGTAACAAACAATGTCTTTTTGAGCGGGCCTAGCTATCTGCCCAACCACATGACACCCCTCCATTCACTTTGGATATAAAAGGTTGTTAAGGTACTTTAAGTAACATTAACAAAAACAGAGAGAAGATGCGAAACTAGGTTCATGCACTACCTGTAGCCATATATAGATAGAGCATTAGTGATAATTAAAACTACAATAATTTGACCTCGTTACATCAAGGAGTCCAAATGTATATCCAACAATCCCCAAATACAAATCACTACAACGTTAGCGAACCTGGAAAATCCGTAGTTGCATTCATCACAAACCCTCACAAGAGTGCAAGGACGAACGTAGGAGTCACAGACCACACACTTGCCATCACACTTCTCGCATAGCCATCCGATGGTGATCCCCGGTTGTTTCCGGCACATTATCAGATCAGGGTGATGTTTGGCCATCCCTCACTTTGCAATGATCTGCAGACATCAGAAAGACGTTGAATGGTGCTAGTATTTGGACTTGGAATTGATACAAGACAAAGCACAGGCATTAAAGTACTAAATTTAAAATTACATAAAGAACATGAAGACTAATATATTCTTGCCACACTGTCTAAACTAACCAAACATTATGTTAGCATATTTACGTTATATGTTGTGAACCTAAACCAATATCTAACATATTATGTTGATGGTTCATTGGGACAATGCGAAAAGATAGAATAAAAACCATTGCCCAACACATAACCACAAATATAGAGAGCTCCGTGTTATCAGTTTTGTTGTTCACATTCAGCGCAACAACATGTAAATAGAATTCGAACTAACCTCCAGCCATGATTGTCCAACAACAAGTTTCTAGCGGCTCCTATTGCTCTAGTTTAAGTGATCTTCTAGCCTATTGCCACTCGAGTACCTTTCTCAGATGGAATGCAAGGCTTTATATAGGCTAGGCTAGGGACCCCTTAATCTCACATGAAAACAAACCGACTCCACTAATCCCTACCATCAAGGGATTCGCGAGCCAAAATCTCTCCTCTTATTTGTCAACCAGAGTCCTGCTCTTAGTGGATTGTAATCAACTAGAGCCATGCTTGGACTGAGTTGTTTGACTAATTCATATCTTAACTAATTACCAATATCAATAACTAAATATTAATGACTAATATGTGGGCTACCTTAAGTGAAAATATTTGAACGTTGCTAACATTTTCCCACTTCGTCCGCATATTAACATTAAGAATGATATAGACCTGAATAGACAGATAGGTTGATCAAAACTTCCCAGACAAATAATGACAAGAAACATAACCCAAATAGAACATTTCAAACATAAATCATGGCGGTCAAGACTCAAAACCAAGCCTTTCCCTTCCATGTATTACACTGTCTGAAACTCTCCGTTTGAGTCCCTTATGAACAACTTTAACTTGTTATTCTTGGTCCTTCTTTATCAAGTCCATTGAATTGAAAAACTTTATTGTGCACAAAATTAAAAACACTTTATTGAATTCAAAATACTTAAATACAAAGCTCAACAATTAATTACAGAGATGATTCAATGATTCCCATATTACCCACATGACTCTTATACAAATTTGCTGGCAAACCTTTGGTCATGGGGTCTACTATCATTTGTTGAGTGCTTATATGTTCAATAGAAATTTCACCATTTCTAACATGTCTTTTGACAATCAAATAGATGATGTTGATATGCTTATTGTAGCTTCCACTTTTATTATTCTTTGTGAAACAAACTGTAGCCATATTATCATAGTAAATCTTCAAAGGCCTTGCAATACTATCAAGTATCAACGATCTTTAAACCTATAACAAAATTCCTCAACTAATTCACATGTGCAAAAGCTTCAAAAACAGCGATGTATTTTGCTTCCATGGTAGACAAAGCAACTAAAGTTTGTGTGGCGCTCCACCAAGACACAGCTCCTCCAGCAAGGAGATAAATGTATCATGAAGTAGACTTTCTTAAGTCTACACAACCAGCAAAGTCTAAGTCTGAATAACCAACTACTTCCAAAAAGTTGGAGTGTTCGTATGTAAGCCTATATTCCTTGGTTCCTTGTAAATATCTCATGACTTTCTTAGCAGTCTTCCAATGTTCCAAGCCTCGATTACTATGGTATCTTCCCAAAATTCCAATTGCAAATCCTATATCAGGTCTTGTACATACTTGTGAGTACATTAGACTGCCAACAAATGAAGCATAGGGTATATTCCTCATTTGTTCTCACTCCAAGTCATAGGGTATATTCATCATTTTTTCTCGCTCCAAGTCATTCCGTGGACATTGATTAAGACTGAACTTGTCTCCTTTGACAATGGGTGCAATACTAGGCAAACAATCTTGAATCCTGAATCCTTCTAAAACCTTTTCAATGTAGGACTTTTGAGATAGGCTTAATGTTCGTAGAGATCTATCTCTGTGAATCTCTATGCCAATGACATAGGAGGCTTCACCCATATCCTTCATATCAAAATTTTGTGAAAGAAAATTTTTCGTTTGATGCATTAAACCCAAGTCACTGCTTCTAAGTAAAATATCGTCCACATTCAAAACTAAAATTATAAATTTACTCCCACTGATTTTAAGGTATACACATTCATCGACAATATTAGCCTCAAAACCATAAGAGGTAATTACATTGTCAGACTTTAAATACCATTGGCGGGAGACCTGTTTTAGTCCATATATGGATTTTCTTAATTTGCAAACTAAATGACTTTTCTTTTCATCAAAGAAACCTTCTGGCTATATCATGTATACCTTTTCTTCAAGATTTCCATTCAGGAATGCTGTTTTCACATCCATTTGATGTAACTCTAAATCAATATGAGCTACTAAAGCCATGACTATTCCAAATGAATCCTTTTTTGAAACTAGAGAGAATGTCTCATGGTAATCAATGTCTTCCTTTTGAGTGAAACCCTTAGCTACAAGTCTCGCCTTATATCATTCAATACTACGTGATGCATTTCTTTTGTTCTTATAAACCCATTTGCATCCAATAGTTGAATGCCTATTAGGTAGTTCAACGAGCTACCGCACTTGATTTTTATCCATAGATTCCATTTCTTCTTTCATGAAATTATACCAAAGATTAAAGTTTGAACTCTTCATGGCTTGGGAAAATGTGCACGGATCATTTAGTGGTCCAACTTCATAGTCAGACTCTTGAAGGTATACAACATAATCACTAGAAATATCTGTCTTCTTTATTCTTGTAGATTTCCTTATCTCTACTCCCTGGTTTTTGTTTTATTCATTTTGAGTAGTAAGTTCCACACTAGCTTGTTCTTCATGGAGTGGTTACACTTGAATGGCTTGTATTTCAGGAGTATCATTTGAAAGATTGTCTTGAAAAACAACCACTCTTCCTTCTTTCAAAGAAGACTCATTAGCCTCATTCATTTCCTCAATTTCTATATTATGAGGCAATTCACTCCCACTAAGCTCATGAATCATGATCTTTAAGAAATTTAGCATTTCTAGCTTCAACATTTATGGGTGTGTGTGAATGACAAAAGAATTTGAATCCATTTGAATTAGGTGGATAGCCTATGAAAAAACCACTTACTGTCCTTGAGTCAAGTTTCTTTAATTGTGGATTATAAACTCTCACTTCAATTGGACAACCCCACACGTGTAAGTGTCTTAAGCTAGGTTTCCATCCATTCCATATTTCAAATGGTGTTTCAAGAACGGATGGAAACTTGGTTAAATCTTAAATAAACTTAACATTAGATTGTCAAAGCAAACCTTAAAAAGTACCAACTTTGAAACTAAAATTAAATTTCTAGAAAAAGACGGAACATAAAAAACATTTTCCAAATCTAAATTAAAATCATAGGCTAATTTTAATTTAAAAGTCCTCACTACTTCAACACTGGAGCACATCCGATTTCCTGAGTAGATGTGTTGCTTATTGCCCTTCAACTTCCTATGGTTTAGGAACCCCTAAATGACATTGGTAATGTGAATTGAAGCACCAGAGTCAATCCACCATGTATTACTAGGAGCCTTAATAAAATAAGATTTACAACACACATAAGCAAATAGAGTACCTTTATTTTCCAACCATTTCTTGTATTTGGCGCACTCCTTCTTCTCGTGTCCCTTCTTGTTGCAGAAGAAGCATGCATCCTTGTCGGCAAAATGCTTCATCGATTTCTTTCCTTTGACCTTAGGAAACTGTTTTCCTTTCTTGGCACCTTCTTGCTCGTTAATTACGAAATGAGCAGTTTTCAATTTCTCAAGTTTCAATCTCTC